TGTGCAGCCAGTCCCAGACCACTTCCCACGGCATGCGATCTCGACTCGTATCTATCTCGAAACCTCCCAGCGTCTCTTGAGGATCGGTGTGAAGCCTCAGTGGATAAGCGGTAGCGTTGATAGACATGCTGAACGCGATGTAGCCGGGATGTCAGAGTTTACGAACGCGCGGTTCAATCTTGACCTTGATGATGATCTTGACCTTCCGTGCCACGAGACGCGGCTATTTGCGTGCGTGCGTTGCGACTCCTGGCTGCTCTGCGAACCTGAATCACGAATGATGGACTTTCACGTTGCCTATGATGAGAGTCGAACACAAAGTCTCGAGCGCACCGACATTGCGCACCGAGAAGATGCGCAATGATCATCTACAGCACTGCACACGCATCGCTTGGCTCGCAATCGCCTCTACAAAGCCAAAAGTGGACGTGACTCGACCCCAGGTTCCGATGCCTGCATGAAAGCTGCTGCTCTGTCAGCGTGCCTCATCCGTGTAGAGACGGAGGTTTCTTCTGCTGCAGCTTCGCTCGACAAATCATGGGGCCTCTTTTTGCAGAACATCCTTCCTGAGCTTACGCCTCCAGAGGCGAGCCGGCAAGATTGAAATCAGGAAAGGCATCAGGGATCAAGTCTTGATTCAGTCTATCAAGAGTCTCAGTCCTCTCACGATCTCATATCAGCTACATAGGTCATCGCGTACGCGCAAAGAATGACAGCAGGGCGAAGCACGTGATCGAAAAATCTGGGTGCGGGGCCAAAGAGCGCGACGCGTCGTCGCGTAGCGCGTAAAGTGTTGCGCACGGCGCGGACCCAAGCATGCGTGCAGCAGCATGGCGAATCATGTCCTTCAACCACCACAGAACGCCGCAAAGGTCAAATCTGGCTGCCAGTCACTTCGACCATTCATACCTGATCTCTCCAGCGACTCAAACCCCTCATCGATCGGTCGAATCGCTACAGTACACTGAGAAGACCATGTCCGACATTCCTTCAGGAAAAATTCAGCCTGATGCGCAAACACATTCGTTGAGCGCAATGGACGAATTCAATCAGCAAGCTGCAACATCGCTGGAGTCCCTTCGAGGCTTGCTGGACGGAGCAAAGCGCGATGCAGCCTTGAAACAGTACTCGAGCGCCGCCGACAAGCTGGCCGAAGCGCTCGAAGGTCTGTGAGTGCAAAAGATTCATTCATGCCCATGCTATCTGCTCCATCTTGCTCACCTGCCTGGTCTGCGACTGACTCCCTTGGCCAGGCGTGAGACGTATGCTGAAGATTCACCACAATTAGCGCCCATCTTTCATCGCTATGGACATGCTTTGCTGGAGCATGCTATCACCACCTCCGGAGCATTGGGCGGTGGAGGTGGAGCAGCGGGTCCTGCCGAGGCGTCCATTCCCAGTCGTGGAGGCGCAAGCAGCGCAGCATCGTCCTCGAGCAAGCCCAAGACGGACAATGCAGCGAATGGCATTGCAAAGGATGGGCGTTTCAGTTTCGGAGGAGATGGACCGGAATCGGACGACGAAGGCGCTGCTGAAGGTGAAGAAGAGGCACCTGACGACCAAGAGGAGGAAGAGGACGACCTCAGCGTGGCTTTCTCTGTGTTGGAACTTGCTAGAGTTCGATATGAAAAATTAATCGAGCAGGGAGACGACGTCAATTTGAACACGCTGGATGGCGAGCAGTGGAGCTCGTTGCAGATCAAGGCGCAGCTGGCCGAGGTGCTCAACGATTTGGCGGATGTAGGTCTCGAATCAGGTAAGCTCCTGGCGCTAGGTGGAATCGCTTCCACAGTGCTACAGCTCACATTCAACGTGTCTTCGAACGTCTTGCGCCTCAGAGAACTTTCAACAAGCTTCAGCAGACTACTCCTCAGCCTTGACGCTGCTCACACCACTGCTGCAGCCTCATTCGCGTCGACTTGCAGACGCCTATCTCCGACTTGGTCTGGCGTTGGAGTACCACCCAGAAATGGAACAAAGAGCAGAGGCGAAAAAGTACGTGGAAGGAGCTCTGCATGCTCTGGAGAAGCGCAAGGAGTCTCTGGAATTCCGGGAAAAGGTGTTGAGCCAAGGAGATGAGAAGTTGAAAGCGGAAGCTGCTGCTGCGCTTGTCCGCGAGGAAAAAGCTCGAGAGGAGAGCAACCGAGCGGCGAGGGAGAGGGATGAGATGCAGTCTGGGCAGGATGCTGGTGGAAAAGGCAAGGGTAAAGATACAGCGGTGAAGGATGTGCCTTTTGAAAGGGACGATGTTGCCGAGATGGGCGAGGAGAAGGTCAAGTCTGAGCTAAAGGATGTGGAGGAGATGCTGCAGGAGCTCCAAGCAAAGGTGAGCAGCTGCTTTTCTGCCTCCTGCTGCAGCAGCATGGCCCCAGAGTTCGCTTCTGACGTCGCTCGCTTTCTTTTCATTCCTCGTCCAGCTCGAAGAGTATGCGCAAGCACCGCCCGAAAGGTCGTTGGCTCCCGCAGGGGCGGCGCAAGCGCTGAGCGGCGAT